GTGGCGGACGTAAGCGAATGAAGCGACGCGAGCGAGCGAGCCAGCTCGAAACGCGAGAACGCTCGGAACGAACAGCTAGGGAGATACCTGGAAAGCTTCGAAAGACATATTTACGACTAATTCTTCGTGACTGGACCCTCGCACACGAACAATCCGACGGCGCGACAAACGTATATTACAAACGTCTATTCGAAATACGATCGGCGGGCAGCCGGCTCGCGTTAGCGACAAGTGTTGACCGTTTTCTTAACCAGGCAGGTGTTGCAAGTGACCTCGCAGCACCATCGGAACCTACATTCGCAGCTGATCTTCTCCTTGACGACCCTGGTGTCGTAGCCTCTGCCGCAGCAGAGCAGCTCGCATCCGTCGACTCCCTGGCTGGTGGAGTTGCAACGTCGTCCCTGCGTGCCCAGCGAGCCCGTTTTTCTGTTCGGCTTGCAGAAGTCCGGCGAGTCCTCGCTGTAAATCAGATCGAATCTGTCCGGTGGCTTGATGGTCGGCCCCTCCGTGATGAAGCTGTGCCCGTCGTTGCTCGGTATCACCTTCGCCGCGCCGTCGAACGACTCTTTCAGCCTGTTCCCGACGTCGCGGAACGCCGGCATTTTCCGCCAGCAAGTACGGACCGTGCACGAACCCGAGAGCCCGTGGCACTTGCACTCCGTGCTCATAAAGTCCCTGATGGCCTGCGGCACACATACACATACACACATATACGAGAGAAGGGCAAAGTAGTCGCGCAAAGTGAAATCGCGCCAATCCTCGGATAGATAACCGTGATATATCCGCCTACCAGACGACCGGCGTTGTTGTTGTGCAGCTTCACCAACGTCTTGATGTCGCTGCGCTTGCGATAAGGGGCGTCCATGAAGTCCCGCGACTTCTTGAATCCGAACTTCACGTTGTCGCCGCAACCGCCCCACTCCCAGTCACCCTCGGTCGGCAGGCTCTTCTCCATCTCGACGGTACGGGTCAGCTTGTCCAGCCGATTATCTGCACAATTCGCGTCGTTCGCGAGATCTGACGATGAGTCTCTGTGGTGGATCTCATTTTACAGGTAGAATGCACGCAAGTTCGTCCTTGCTTACCTTTCGACGTCATCTTGTCGCACGAGCACTCGACAAGATGTCCCATGGTGCAAGCTCTCGTGACCGCGTAAGTCACTCCGGCCGCGGTGATGGCGTTCACGAAGCCCGTCTCCCTGGTATCTGCGAACATCCGGACGAATTTGCAATCGATCGGCGAGTTTTACTACCCTCTCGAGAAGCCTCGAAAGATATCTGGCGCGGGCCAGGGCGTCTGTGGATCAGAGACGCCGACTCGAAGGAAAGAAATCGGATTACCGCGAACCGAGGTAATCGCGAAGGGGAGATAAGTCGATTAATCGGAGTACTCGCTGAATGGGCGGAAACGGATTCGACATTCGGCGACGATGCAGGATCGGGAAGGACGAGGCGTGGAGACTCGACGGAAGATCGGAATTCTCGAGGAAAAAAAGGGCGCGCGTCCTCGAAGTGGAAGGATCTCGGGAATGACGAGGTTCGTCGCGACAGGCTCGACGTTCCGAAGTGGAACAGACGGTCGTCGAGAGACTCTGAGAGCAGCGCGAGCGGAGCGAGCCAAGCGGGAGAGAACCAGGACGTCGGATCTCTCGGTGGCGTGTGTATTCGGTTTCAACCTGTCACGTTTCCACTCCATCATTAGACGGACAATGCACGCCGGAGGTTCCACCCCTTTTCAAAACGGCAGATTACCACCGCCTCCGTCCAATGGCTCCCTGTCACCCATTGTCTCTCACCTGTCCGAGCATCCGGGTTTTGCAAATCCTCCCGAGGACCCTTTCTTTATTTCCGCGTGTCCAAACGCGCCCTGTTGCTCTCCGTGTTTTCTCTCTCTCTCTCTTTCTCTTTCTCCTTTCGTTTCTCTCTCACTTTTACTCGTATTTCGACGTATGTTTCCAATCGACGACACCCGAGACAGGAGAAACCTACGCAGGCCGGTCTCTCGCGATCGAAGGGATCGAAGCTTGCGCTTGAGCGGAACAGCGATGGAATCTCGCGAGTCGCCGTTGGCCCGTTAGCGGATTAACTTATAATCGGAAGGAGGAATGCGAGTCCAATTACCGATTCCTTTGGAGGCGCGGGCGCGCGACCGCGCTCGCTGGTTGCGCGTGCAGTCACGCGGCCAGCGCGCCGCGGGATCGGCGCTCCCCGTCAAAAGTATCGGGAGCGCGTATCTGTCGGCGATCGGTCGAGGCCGATCGGGCAGCAACGATCGAATCGGAGCCGAAGCGTTTCCGCGCCGCGAGGCAATTATCCTTTTCGAACGTTTAAGCGAAAACCAGTCGCGAATACTAATGCCGCGCGGCGACGCACACCGCAGGGATCGAGCTTCGAAATCTCCTCGAGAAGTGGACGATCGGGAAGAAAACGCGAGAGGAGAGGAAACGATTGCGGCGGCAACGGGGCCGCGGGTTCTGGCCAGAAGGCTTCCTTGAGAGGGAAAGAAAAGGGAGAGACGTGGCTCGCGGCGTGGTCTCTCTGGCTGTGGTCTGCGCGCGAGCCTGGGAAGGGGTTATACGCGTTAAGCTCGGTTCGCCGTGGTTCCCATGGATTCCAGCCGGGTATCTTCGGCGCGGATCGACACGCGGACGGACGAACCGACGGACGGACGGACGGACGAACGAATGAACGGAACGAGAAGATGCAACCCGAGAGGGGCAGGCTGCCACCGCCCGCGTATCTTCCGATGCATCGCCTCACCTTTCAGTGCGTATTTAAACGATACGATAGTTTTATACGAGCGATCTGATATCGAGGTTCGAGAGCGAAAGGCCCTGACTCGCTCCTGCCTTCGAGAGCTTGTGTTCCCCGGCCGTGTTCCGCGTCTCCTGGCTGCCTTCCTTTCGCCTCGTATCCGTTTGCTCGCTCCGTCTTCGCTCTTCGCCCTTGCCTCTCTTTCTTTTTTTTCTTTTTTTCTTTTTCTTCGCCATCCTTTTACACGATGGTCAAAAAACCTTCCCAATGGTCGAATCTTCCCGATTCTTCCGGATCTCGCGCAAGTCGAACGTCTACGACCAAATTATTGGTAGCGCGTGTGTCGACGCGTCTCCGCGCTCGATCGCTTGGCCAACGACGTTCGTGGCGAAGAGAAGGTAAAAGAGCGTGGAGTGGAGGGCCGGGAATGTTCGAGGCGGAGAAGAGCAGCAGGTAATATAAATCACTTGGAATCAATTAGACACGAGGGATCGCGAGCCGATGATCTTGCAGTGCTGCGCTGCCAGGTGCACGGAGCGCCCATCGTCTCGAGTCGTCCCGACGGCTCAGCCAATTATCAACATTCCGGGGCATTATCCTCCGAGCGAGACTTACGCCGTGTTTAATTGCGAGTGGTCGTCTTCTTTTTCTTCTTCTTCTTCTTTCGTCTTTCTTTTTCTTCTTCCTCCTTCTTCTTCTGCACGGTCGTCTTTCTTCTTCGCCCCTAACTCTTGCGTCTTATTCTTGCGTCACTCCTGATTTTCGCGTTTACTCGCGAAGCGTTTCGCTCCGCCGAGAACACCATCCAATCGAGCTTCCGAGCTCGTCGTTAATCGCCGTTGGAGCTGAGCGTTGGAACGTGGAATCTCTATCGTTCGTCATCCCCCGCTCGATCCGCTTGATCCGCGATCCGTTCGCTCGTCGATTGTATAAGGTGATGAGAATTCATCCGTGCAATATTTATACGCGAGCGAGACAGCCGCCGCGCCGTTGTCCTTTTTTGCGACGCCGCTCGCTTAACGGGACGCGCGTAACTCTCGTCCGCGGGTCACGCAATGAAACGCAACCGACCGACGAATCTCGGCTCTCGCCTTAAACGGACGCGTCAAACGTCCTCGCGGCAACGTTCAGCGTGGACGACTCGAGCGAGTCGAGGGTGAAATACCACAATGCGAAAGATACCAATTTCAGGGAAAATTGAGAATTCGTTTCAGACGAAGGGCGAACGATTCGATGAAAAATCGAGTCGACCAAGGCGAATCTCACGCGTACTGAAGCGTCGCGATCGTGCGGTGATTATGCAAACGTGTGATTCGCGATGGTGCACGACGCGCCGCCATTGTAGGAATTATGTCGCGGACGCGAAGGATCGACGCGGTTGGATACTATCGATCGGTCTCGCCGGTCGAGTGATTTGTTTCACCGGGTCGCGATTTATCGGCGGTAGACGCGCCGATTCGTGAGCGATAGATCGGTCTGTCGCTCGCGGAATCGCTCAGCTCTGCTCGGCTTGGCTCGCCTTCGCGCGCGTAAGTCGAAGGTCCCTTTTCTCCTCCGATTCGAATCCAGCTATTTTGAATCGAATCGGTCTCGGTGAACCGGATACGCGCCGTTATCCTCCGCGCGTTTTCATCGAGTCCGCTCTAATTGCGGACGATGCCGCGATTACGAGGAGCGTAAGCGCGCGCGCGCGCTCGCCGATCGCCCAGCGAAAAGGAGAACGAAGACGGTGGAGGGACGGAGGGAAGGGACGAAGGGGAGAAGATAAATCGCGGGAAGCGCTCGTAAATAAAGAGGAGAATATCGAATGAGAAAAGAGGCACGGCTCACGGCGTTTAGTTAACCCTCGTGTACAAGCAGATCTTACGAGAGAAACCTTTCCAATAAATACAGCGAGAACGGACGCATGAATGCCGGCAAAAATCGCCCAATGACCAATTGCGGCAACAGCCACTCGCCTTTTCCCGAGATTCCGTGGAATTTTTGAGCTCGCGCTCGCCTCGTATCACCGCTGGATTCTCCTCTCTCGCTGGAATTTCTCTCCTTCTGCCTTCTCCGTCTCGCTCTTTCCACGCGGCTCTGGCCACGACGACACACGTCGTCCAACGCGCTCCTACTTCGCCAGCCGAACGAACGAACCTCTCCGCTCGGAGATATCGCGGTAATTACGAGGCGAATCGTCTATCCGTCCTTTCCGTCTCTCTCTCTCTCTCTCTTCTCTCTCGGTCCGAAGGAAGATACAGACGCGAATCTAGACCGAGCACCACGCGTGGAAAAGCGACGCGCGTATCAGAACTCTGATAGAAGCGAAACCACGTGAGAGGAAACAGCTCTGTGCGTACGGAGCGTACGGATAAGTTCTCGTTTTCTCTGGTCGGCTCTCTCTCTCTCTCTCTCTCTCTCTCTC